GAATAAGTACAGTATAATAACAGAATAAAGCAAAAGAGAAGAGATATGAATAAAAGTGACTTCCAACTATCCATCTGTCAGTTGTAACTGCACATTTGTAACAGTTGTAAATGGATATTGTCCTTTTATAGAAACACAGCAATGCTGAAAACTAGAGATCAACCAGCCCTAGCTGCAGGTTCGAACCCTGTATGTGACAGCAGCATATTCCTGCCTTGCAGGGGGTTGGACTAGATGATCCTCAGGTCCCTTCCAGCTCTACAATTCTATGATTTTATGATTCTGAGGCAACACACAGTCCTTTTTGCCTAGGCCCTTTTAGCACTGGAAGAAGTAAGAAGCATGAGTTTCATCGGGATCTGTTGAAACTAACTTAGGCCAAAGACAGTCCCACAAAAGCCCAACACCTTTTGTGTCTGGATTTTCACTTTTTGAAATACGGCGACCCTGTAAGGGCTTACTCCTTAGGTAAGTGGGGATTGCAGCCTCAGTCTAGTCCCAACCTAATACCCTGTTTTCCCGAAAATAAGACAGTGTCTTATATTAATTTTTGCTTCCAAAGATGCGCTAGGTCTTATTTTCAGGGGATTTCTTATTTTTCCATGAAGAAGAATACGGTACACATTTAATGTCTAATTGTGAGTCAGCCAGACTCCGTCAGGGCAGAGCGAGCAGCAGGTGGTAGCTTGTCCTCGCGGCAGCGCGGGCTCTCTGGTTTAAAGAGACCTCGCACTACCTGAACAGCTCTGGCTGCGTTGCGACCAATCAGTGAGCTGTGCGGCGGCGCCCGCTGCTACGGTCCAGAGGAGTCAGACGCCTTGTGGTAGCTTTGGGGGCCTTATATTCCGGGGAGGCCTTATGTTCAGGGGAGGCCTTATTATCGGGGAGGTCTTATTTTCGGGGGATGCCTTATATTACAGCGAGAGGCAAAACTGGAAGTAGGTCTTATTTTCAGGGGATATCTTACTTTTGGGGAAAGATGGTAGCTGCAATCACAACATAACAGCAAAACAGACAAAACATGTTTGACAAAGACCAGCAAAAATGTTTGTAAACAAACATGTCCTTACTTTGCAGATGGAAAGGAGGTGGGAATCAGAAGTTTAATGATCTAATGTACCGCATTTTTCACTCTATAAGACGCACCAGACCACAAGACGCACCTAGTTTTTGGAGGAGGAAAACAAGAAAAATATTCTGAATCTCAGAAGCCAGAACAGCAAGAGGGATCGCTGTGCAGTGAAAGCAGCAATCCCTCTTGCTATTCTGGCTTCTCTGATAGCTGTGCAGCCTGCATTCGCCCCATAAGATGCACACACATTTCCCCTTACTTTTTAGGAGGGAAAAAGTGAGACTTATAGAGCAAAAAATATGGTATATACTGCCCTTCGATAAGCTTCTAAGGAAGTTATACAAAATAATAACATAAAATGCAGAGATCAAAATAATGTATACTAAATTGCAGCCTGTAAAGAATACATCCAGATGCCCAGGAGACCCCCAGTGTCTCTGCGTGTTGTGGAAATGAGAACAGTGTTAGCATCTCCCAAGAGCTGGCTTGCTTGGAAGCGGACGCAACAACAAAGAACCCCCCTGGTCTGTTCCCCCTTCTCTGTCACTGACAGGAACTGTGGAATGAAGAGCAAAAGCACCCTCTAAAGATCTTAATGAGTGGGGAGGCATAATGAGAAAGCTTCCCCAGAGGTATTCAGGCAGCGGAGGTTGGTTCACGTGGGTGAATGGGGCACAGCCTCACCAACCTCAGTCTGCCCCCAGCCAGTCCCTGTGTGACTGCCTTCACACTTACAACCAGCCAGGGGAGAGCTCTGCCTGTCATTGGCTCAGGTTTCACCCACTGTTTGCCTCCTTGCGTCCTGTCCTACCAGTCCAAATGGGCATCAGCTACCACTGTGTACAGGAGCCAGGCTGTTTAGGACTTTAAAGGCACTTTGGACTGGGACAGAAGCTATAGAGGCATTCAATGAAATCCCATCAGCAACTGAGTGATACGTTCTCCTTCCATTCCCCAACCCCTCAGCGGCACACCAGTCACCAAACTCAAGTCACCAAACTGCCTGCAGTTTGCAGTACAGTGGTACCTCTAGATACGAACGGGATCTGTTCCAGAGCCCCGTTCGCATCTAGAGGTAAACATATCTAGCGACGGCACCTCTGCGCACGTACACACGCGTCGCTTTTCATTGCTTCTGCGCATGCGTGTGACGTCATTTTGAGTGTCTGTGCATGCGCAAGCGGCGAAACCCAGAAGTAACGTGCTCCGTTACTTCCAGGTTGCCGCAGAGCGCAACTTCAGATGCGCTCAACTTGAAGCAAATTTAACCTGAGGTATGACTGTACTTGGAGCGTCAAAATAAAAAAGGTAGTGGTAAAGGACCCTTGGATAGTTAAGTCCAGTCAAAGGTGATTATGGGATGGACACTCATCTCGCTTTCATGCTGAGGGAGCTGGCGTTTGTCCACAGACAGCTTTCCAGGTCATGTGGCCAGCATGACTAAACCTCTTCTAGTGCATCGGGACACCGTGACGGAAACCAGAGCGCACGGAAATGCTGTTTACCTTCCCACCACAGTGGTACCTATTTATCTACTTGCACTGTTATGTTTTCCAACTGCTAGGTTGGCAGGAGCTGGGACATAGCAACGGGAGTCACTCTGTAATGGGGATTCAAACTGCTGACCTTCTGATCGGCAAGCCCAAGAGGCTCAGCAGGTTTGACCACAGCACCACCCGCGTCCCAATACTCTCCAAGAACAGACCCATGCCAAGCACATCCCAGCTTTGCAAAGCAACACAGGGCTTACGGGGAGGGTAGTGTGAGCAGCATGCCCCCCAGAGAAATGCAACTGGGGTGATGGCCCTGGCAGAGCCCTCCCACTACACCACTGTAGACAACGTGGCTTGTGTGTGTGTTCTTTAATAGTTATGTAGAAGAAGGACTTTCAACAAGAAGGACTTTCAAGAAAGCAACTATTAAAGATGCAAGACTTCTCTTTTATAAGTGGTCACTCTAGTCTCAAGCTAACAGTGGTACTCTGATATGACAAAAACCATTCTCAAATAGATGAAAGGCTCATCTAATCCAGAATTTTGGTTTCCACCAGTGATCAGCCAAATACCCAAGGGAAGCTCATAAGCTGGGCATCAAGGCAGCAACTCACTGACTGTCCCTAGCTCCTGGAATACAGAGGTCTATCATTTCTACTTATGTTTGATCGACCTGTCCTTCAGGGATAGGTTCCAAAAACTGGGGGGTTGCCAGGGGAGGGGCAGCTTTCAGTAAGTCATCCAGCCCAAATCTCTGCAGCTAAACCACTCCTTTATTCTATTCTATCCCTTCCTTTACACCGCACCCTCAAATTGGGCAAACAAATGTCAAAAACTCCTCTCCTCTGTTAGATGAGTGTGAGCCAATCAACCCAATGACTGCAGCGATCTGCCGCCCTGGTGGAACATTAATTAGCATCCATTGTGACTGACAGCTCAGCCACACCAAACCCAGGGAGCCTTTTGCGCGACAGGAGAGCATGTCTCGTAACGCAATGTTTGGTGTGGGCCTGGATGGGGTTGTGCGCTACTGCCTTCCCGGTTGCGCGTGATGAATGAGCAAGCTGAGACTCTCTGGATTGCCTCTTTTGCTGCAATATGTTCACAGTTGTCATTCACCTTGAACAAACACAGCAAAAGCAGTGGCACAGCCAATCACAGGTAATTAAGTCCACCTGCAGAATCTGAGTGCAAACATATTGGTGTCCCGATACCTGCAGCCAGAAGCAGCCGCTTCTCTGGCTTGTGTTCAAAGACTCTTTTATCTCTGGTCTGGAAGGCTTCCAGCCTCCTTTCCAGCCACAGCCTTCACTGACTGCTCATCACGAGAAGGTCTGTGTATTTTAGCTGAGTACATTCTCTCTGGTGTAGCCATCTGCTCAGATGGTAAATTTTTGGTGGAGTGTTGTATAGTGCAGACATTTGTTGAACTTTTTCTCGCTTTTATCCAACAGCCCTTCATTCCAAACAAAGTGCATCTGGACTTTTTTCAAAACAACAACTATGAACAGAATGAGCCAAGTGTTATGTTAATGGAGGAATGGGAGAATCACTTCTCCCCTGGTGCTCCAGCATCATTTGTAGGAAGTGATCACATGAATTGGGCAACTGATGTGCCTCTTCCCATGCTGGCGAAACTCTTTCCCATGAGAGCTGATGGGCGTCAGCAGTAAAAAAGGTAAAGAGACCCCTGACATTAGGTCCAGTCGTGGCTGACTCTGGGGTTGCGGTGCTCATCTCGCTTTATTGGCCAAGGGAGCCGGCGTACAGCTTCCGGGTCATGTGGCCAGCATGACTAAGCCGCTTCTGGCGAACCAGAGCAGTGCACGGAAACGCTGTTTACCATCCTGCCGGAGTGGTACCTATTTATCTACTTGCACTTTGACGTGCTTTTGAACTGCTAGGTTGGCAGGGCGTCAGCAGTAGGGTTGCCATATTTTGAAGAGTAAAAAAGAGAATGCTATGACGGCCATTCAAAGCAAAGAAATGTAATTTGCCCCTAATTTTACCCCTGAAAAGGACATGTCCTGGAAAAAAGAGGACGCATGGCAACCCTACTAACCATTCACACAGCCATCTCTTGTGAGTCCTTCCAGATTCACATGAATGTGGAACATACTTTACACAAGCAAAAATACAAGGCCGTTCCTTCTCCTCACCACCCATCCCTATGAATTTCATAGTCAAAGAAACATCATGAATAGAATTACATTTACCAGCTGAAGAGGGTCAGAATGAAATAGTAGTAGTGCGATGAAGTTTGGTCTGTATTTTTATTTTTTTTGAATTTTGCAATCATTGATGCAAAGCCCACTAAAATCAACATTCAGTGTTATCCAGTAAATGTTTATGCAGAAGCAAGCTCCATAGAATTGTAGAGTTGGAAGGGACCACAAGGGTCGTATAGTCCAACCCCCTGCAAGGCAAAAATCTTTTACCCAACATAGGGCTCAAACCCACGACCTTGTGATTAAGAGTCTTGTGTTCTCCCAACTGAGCTATATCAGCTTCTTGCTGGTTTCCCAGAGGCATCTGGTTGGATGCTCTGAGAACAGCATATTGGACTAGATGAGCCACTGGCTTGTTCAAGCAGACTTGTCTAACGTTCTTACTTCAAGGTAGATTGCAGGTTTAAAAATAAGACTACAGCTTTAAAACCTTTGTTTTGTGCTAACTAGATTCCATCCTGACCAAAGTACCCATGAATGTTCATTCCCCCTCCAAAAAAGCCAGGTTTCCTTTTTTTGAACAAGGCAAATCCAGTCATGCAATGGGAAAATCTTGTAATAATAATATTATAATAATTTATTATTTATACCCTGCCGCTCTGGCTGGGTTCCCCCAGCCATTCTAGATGGCTCCCAACAGAATATTAAAAGCACGATAAAACGTCAAACATTAAAAACTTCCCTAAACAGGGCTGCCTTTAGATGCCTTCTAAAAGTCAGATAGTTGTTTATTTCTTTGACATCTAATGGGAGGGCGTTCCACAGGGCGGGCACCAGTACTGAGAAGGCCCTCTGCCTGGTTCCCTGTAACCTCACTTCTCGCAGTGAGGGAACCGCCAAAAGGCCCTCGGAGCTGGACCTCAGTGTCCGGGATGAATGATGGGGGTGGAGACGCTCCTTCAGGTATACTGGGCCAAGGCCTTTTATTATAATATTGTATTTTAATATTATTTCAGGAAGCTTATATCATGTAACAACATATCACCTTCAAACAATGTCAGATCAGTAATTGAGGGTGCAATCCTAAACACACTTACCTGGGAGAAAGTCTCATGGACTTCTTCCGAGAAGACTTGTGTAAGATTGTGCAAGGCTATAGCCTTGCCCAGGGGCAGGTAACCTGTTCCTAGCATTTTATCTAAACTGAGTTGCTGACTGGGTTGCAGACATTTGTTATAAGGATGTAGAAATAATGCAACACGTCCATATTTCATTTTTATGTTTTGGGGTCTTTTGGGGTGTGTGTGTGTGTGTTTGCAGGTAGTGCACCACACAGAAGAGGTGAACTTAGGAAGTGGTAGTTTCTACATCATGAATAAGTCAGCATCTCTGCTTTTCACAGGCACCGTGCTGGAAGGATATTAATTCTAAGCCTATTATTGCACATCACAACTTGTTTCTTTATGGGAGAAAGGGAGAGAAGATGACTCTTTAGATGGCCTCCAAAATGTAAACATACTGTTACAGAAGTCTGGTGCCTGCCCCTTTCTTAACCAAGCGGTGGCAAGAGCCCATGGGGTCACAGGCACACACACACATACACAGGGTCTGCGTCCCTTTAGAGAATAGAAGACATGAATTGGGTAAAGATGTAAATTTAAGTCTAAAATTGCGTTAAGTTAAATTATGGAACTAAATTTGTGAAAGAGGGAAAGGACTTGTGGAATATTTAATTGAACTAGAATACAAAAAAGGAGGTGTGAGGAAGTCGAGGAAATAAGCAAATGAAAGATAAGGATATGAAAATATGGAGTTCTTTTCTATGTTTGTTTGTTCTCTTTTGGGTTTTTTTTAAAAAATGCTTTTGTTTTCTTTTCGTTTTCTTTTTGTATTGTTGATGTTTTGTATTACTGTATTTATTTTTGTTTTTGAGGCTTTGTAATTTTTTATTGCTTATATTTTTCTTTTGTTTTTCTTTTCTTTTTTTTGTAATGTCCAAACTTTAATAAATATTTTATTAAAAAAAACACAAAAAGAGAACAGAAGACATGGCAGAGACTGTCGCGCTTTAAGATATATGGTTTATTCACCGATTTACACCTTCAGTCTGCATGGAGGGAGCCCTGTTCTTACAGCATGGCGCAAAGCAGTGCAGGCAACCTTTCACCTCCCTCTCCAAGATAGATATCACCTCTCCTTCCTCCTTCTTCCCAGAAACCCCTGTCTCTGTTCACACCTGAGGGCAGGAGGGAAGTTCTCAGTGGCTCTCTATTGTTCTCTTAACAGCCCTAACTTGGCCAGGCTGCTTTGCATAAGCCAACCCAGGAATTCCCTGTCTAGCACAGCTCTACAGTTTGTGTTTTAATCCATACCCCACTTAATCAAAATCCTAGCATTTGTTCATTCCTAGGGTTTAGGGGGACACTTCCTCCCCCAATCTATAACAATACGAAGCCACCCTTGATTGCATCAAAGCTCTGTCTTCCAAAAGGAAGTCCTGTGTTGTTAATTACTGGGCGTCTTAATAAGTTTAGGTCTGTGTTTGTTCTCTTTCACCTGCATCCTGGATCAGGAGACTTTACACTACAAACCAAAGAGCATGCTGCTATTGTAAAGAACCTGGCTGCACACTTTGCTCTCCCACAAGGAGCGTTGCGAGATGAGAATACAAATCAGAGGGTGGTGTGCTTGAAACCTGGCCTGTTGGGAGGCAACAGGGCATCCTTGCGTACTGCTTCTTCATCAATAACAGATGAGCCACTATTCCTTCTTGCATGTGATTATCCATTTCCCCAGAACCAAAGCAAGGCGGTGTGGGGGAGGAAGGATTTATAACATGGAAGGACCATCATATAGTTGGCAATGCCTGGAAGATGCTGTGTTCTGGTAGGGTTGCCTTGAAACAACTTTGAGTTTCCTTAAAAAGCTCAACAATTTTGAGCTCAACAACTTTTGTGTCTGGAACTTTACCTTGAACCCTAGTTCAAGAAGTTTCACAAGTGTTTTGGATTCACATTGGTGGTAGCCCAACCGGAATATGAGGGCAACACATTGGATTGTGACTCTTGCTGAATAGTGTCAACTAGCGTACTCACCATTTCAATACAGTGGTACCTCAGGTTACATATGCTTCAGGTTATAGATGCTTCAGGTTACAGACTCCGCTAACCCAGAAATATTACCTCAGCTTAATAACTTTGGTTCAGGATGAGAACAGAAATCGTGCTCCAGTGGCATGGTGGCAGCAGGAGGCCCCATTAGCTAAAGTGGTGCTTCAGGTTAAGAACAGTTTCAGGTTAAGAACGGACCTCCGGAATGAATAAAGTACTTAATCCGAGGTACCACTGTATTGCCATCCAATACACAGACTGATGGGCCACATGCATGCATTTGGTACAGCCCTAGCCCTTTCTGTTTTCTCCCTATGCTTGGGGAGAGAACAGAAGGGGAAAAGGAGGACATGGTATATGTTTGGTTTATTTCCTTGTAATTAGAGAAAATACACCCCCCCTTACAGCTGAGACGAATCATATACATTACTATTTTGACTTGCTTGCCATGTAAATGTTGTTGGGTTCCTTGCCTTTCCAGGATCCACAAAGGATAGAAGGAGATAACAGAAATCACTGGGTTAAAGCTGACCAAAAGTCCAGAGGCAGCATTATTACCAATTTACGGTGGGATGGAAGGTTTGCAAGCTATGAAGGACTTGCTCACAAATTTTTTGACTGCTGCATGAATTATGATAGCTAGGAAGTGGAAGGGGCAAGCAGAGTATGAAATGGAAGAATGGTATAAAGAGGTGTGGGATATAGCTATTAATGATAAATTAACATGTACCATTAAGGTAAGAAGGGGAATATGTAGGAGAAATGATTTTGAGGAGATATGGAAGGTGTTTGTAGAATTTGTACTGTTAAAAGGAAAGGGGTCAAACCATTGCAAGAGGTGTTGAAATTCTAGGAGGTTGGGTAGTTACAATGAATGGTCTTGGTGGTGTGCACATTTTCTTTCTTATTTATTTATGATTATTACTTTGTCAAAATAAAATAATAATAATTTCTTTAAAAAAAAAGAAAAAAAAGATGAGATGGTTACTTTTCACACCTGCAGGCATTCTGGTTGAAGCTGGTGTTCTCTAAGTTCCTTCCTTCCTTCCTTCCTTCCTTCCTATTTACATTTATTCTCCCCCTTTCCATTTTATCCTCACAATGACACTGTATAATGGGTTGGGATAAGAGACAGTAATTGGCTCAAGACCACTCAGTGAGCTTCACATCTGAGTGGGGATTTGAACCCTGGTCTTCCAAGTCCTAGTCCAGCTCCCTAACCACTACGCTATACTGACCGTGTTATGCAGTCTCACCATGGATGCTGTGCCTCTACAGATTGACTTTTGGGGGTGTTGTAAAAGCTCTCGCCCCTTAAGGGAGTGGAATGGCGAGCCCAATTTGGGGGCTAGAGTTCCGTCTAGAACGTTCCCAAGGATAGATCTTCACGGGCACAGGACTCATGCGGGAAAGCACAGACGGGGCGAACTTTGGTAATCTTTTGTAATATGGCTTCCTGCGCAAGGCCAAAATTTGGTTCCCCCACATGGATCTTCTCAATTATGAGTCTTCTCAATTTTGGGCACCCTCAGCTCAGTGTGGGAGAAACCACTCTAAATCTGATACTGTGCAGAGAGGGCCACTCAAAGAAACATCATAGGCGGGTGGGTGCCACTGCCATTATAAGAGAACAAGGGAAGCGTTCATGGTGAGTTCTGGCACCCCTTTTTCTAGAAAAATAGCACTGGCTATAGGTAATTGTTCTGTTTCATACCTTGAGACCAAAGGATTTTACTGGTGACCTAAGAAAGGGCAAATTGACATTTCCCTTAAATATCTAGAAGGGTAATCTGGTTATATATTCACAGGTGCCCTGGTAAAGAGGTGCCCTTGCAAAGAAAAACTTTGCACAAAATCTTAGGTTGTTGTTTTTCGTTTGGAAAAAAATACGGGTTTTTGACGAGTCATGTTTTAGATGTGTAATGAGTATGAGTTACTCGTGCGTAAACTGGTGCCTCTCTAGGCTAATTTGCCTTGTTAAACCTTTCTGACTGCACAGCCCTTTCTAATCGTGACTGCCTCAGTCGCTGGCAGAATCCGCCAGTGGGCGTTTCTTGAACCTCTTCCAACATAAAAGTTGTTTGACACCCAGTCTCCTCCTCCTCTCACTGCGCGGGAGTCTTCTGCGCAGGGAGGGCGTGGGTAGCGGAGGACCTGTCCCCTCCTCACTGAGGTCCAGTGAAGAGTCCTGGAGCCCTCTCCGATTCCCCATCTGCCCCCTTTCTCCCTG